GTAAAATTAATAAAATCCTTTTTAATTTTATTTAGGATAATGGTTTTTAATTTGAATAAATTGTTATTATTGTAACAAGTCACTTTACTTATTTTCTTTTTTATATTAAAAGCAATACATATATATGTTAAATATTTTCATTTGTTTGCGTTAACATTATAGTTTTATAATATATTAATAAAATCATTTTAATTTCCTTTTTACATTAATTTATAAAATTATTTAATTCATAATTCATTAATACGAAAAGACACAACTAGATGAAAAAAATATTATATATATAATACTTTAATGAGTTTTATTTTTTTTTTTTGGGTTGGACTCATACCGAACCCATTAGGATTCTCCAATTTATTTCCAATTGGTGAGCTAAGAATTTGAGTGCCATCCTTATATGAGTTGCTATTTTTTTTTTTTTTAATTTGGGCGATAATTATTAGTGTAAATCAAATTTTCTTTATAGAGCTCATCATCTCTGAATAAAATTATGTTACTAAAAAATATAAATAAATTAAAAAATAAATATAACTAAACTATTAAATATTCACACATAATATTAACAATAAAATTATAAGATTTAGGTTTCGTTTTGGACAGTTTTTTACTGTTTCTTAAAGCAGCTTTTTAGTACAATTTTTTTTTATTTTTTATACTAAAAAGTTGTTTTAAGAAGCAGTAAGAAGTCCTCCCTAGTGAAACCTCAATCACACATATTTTCCAAAAGTAGTGGATACCTAACTCAGATTTATTTATACTTCATCTTTAAAACGTATCATCTCATGATGAAATTATAGAAGAAAATAAATTAATGATTTTATGTATCTCACATTAATGCACAATAAAGAAGGGAGAAGAAGATGAGGAGGAAAAAGAGTATCATTTGAGAAAGAAATTAATAAATAATATTTTTTGTGTGCTTCTAAAGGGATTAGGGGATTTCTTTAATATCTTCAAGAAGAGAGAAGTGTTATTATTTACCTTTCTATTCTAACAAGAGAAAATACTCTTGGTTATAACATTGACTCGGTTAAAAAGCTCGAAATCGGCTTTTTTATGATGCTCGTTTTTATTGTTAAATTTAAATTTTGATTTTTTTTTTTGTTGCAAATTAACTTGGAATGAAGGGAAAACAAAATATTTTTAACTAAAGTTTAAGTTTCACTTTGAAGTCATGTTACTCGTGTACATAGATATCTAAATGAAAGTTAAAATAAAAGCAAAAACAAATTAAGAAACCATCTCAAAGCAAAACCAAACAAAAGTTATAGTATTCAATCATTCAATACATTTACAAGATTTTAAGAAATGTACATAGAAATATTATAACTTTTTTGGGATTAACCCCAACTAAGAACTCAGAAAATCAAATTACATCTCAAGAATCGGCATGATTCATAAAGTAGCAAAGGCTAAATTTTCATGAGGCCAAATATGACCATCAACTTGATGGTTGCCATGTGCCAAGAGCAGAAAAATATAGAACATGTCCATAAATGTAATATGCGGCCATCCAACTATGGTTGCCAAATTGACCAACACAGTAAAGGATTTGAGGATATAATTAATTCATCATTGTTCTTATGTTGGGGTTAAAAAATTCTCGATAATATCATACAACAACACCTGGTCCACGCACAACAACAAGTACCAACAACACCTGGTCCACCTCTCACAAACAACATACAACAACAAGTATCCAAAAATGAAACCAAACTCTCACATACAAAAGAGAACATAAATACCACTTTAATCATTGTAGGATAATACACACTAATATGTACAACATACAAAATATACAACAAAAATCAAACCCTAATACTAAAGTTCTCTCAACACAGCAAATTCAAATTCAGTTATGTGCAAAAAACCACAAATCCTTAAATTATAGGAATCAGATATAAATAAAACTACAGGAATCAACAACATAAATCATCACAAACCTTCTCAAATGATTATGTTAGAAATACTAAAATTCTCTCACCCCCCTAATTTAACATTCTAGTTAGCATAAATAGTTAATGATTGTATCAAATGAAAACCGTCAAAGTTAACTGCATAAGTAGCACTAAAGAATGACATATATTAACATTGTTGTTTTGCACTCCATGAAGTAGCCAATAGGAAGATCATCACAGCAACAACATACAACTACATATATATAAAGCTTAGTCATTACATTAAATAATAAGTAATCATAAATAAATTTTACCATCCTAATTTCTTTTACCTCATAAAGTACTCAAGCAATTAGTAATAAAATCTCCACCTCCTCATCATTCTCTTCTTCCTAAAAAAAATGGCAACATCTTCATATATTCTGAAAGATATTCATGAGAAGAAAAAATATTGTCTAAAACAAAATAAAAAAACCAATTAATTACCTTCACCCTTCCCTTCAATCTGTAGTGACAACAGATCCAATTTGAACCACACAAAAGAGCTTGTATTGTTTCAACACCTAATTTGGAACGATATATGTCAACCACCCATTCGTCTGCACTAAAAGTGGATTGTTAAGCTATTGTACTTATTAGTCTGGATAAAATGTCAACATTCATTCTCAAAAGTACACAATATTTTGTTTGATTGCTTTTCCACCAAGCTATAACATCAAACTTTTGTCCTCCATTATTAATTTCTAATCCATCCTCCAGATATTTATCTAAATCAGATTTAATGGGTCTTGTGGTTGTTTTACTTGATACATACGAAGTGAAGTCATGCCAACCACTGTATTTCTTTGACTCATTATATGCGCTTGTCACTTTACTTGAACTGCTTGTGCTCCTAGAAGCCACAATGTTAATGCCTATAATATCTTCAAGTTCGGGCTCAACTATTAGAACATACTCTTTATACAACTCATAAAGAGAAGTACATACAAATGATACATTCCTAATGCTTTCTTCTCCTTGATATATCTTAGGATACACAAAGTTAATCACAACAAATTTCATTAGGGGATCCATCACTGCTCCAAATGCCATAAGTTACGTTCACCCCAATACTTGTCAATTTTCAGTTTCATATTTTTTGTCATTTCGACAATAAAGGTATCCGGTGAAGTGACGCCCTCATACCTTCTTAAAAGTACATATTTGTGAAAAGGAATAAATTAGCAGTTGGGTACTCCATCCGTGAAATGATATTTGTAGCTTCATTAAATAATCCCAAGACATCGCAAAGCCCAAGACATAGCAAACCCACTTTTTTCTCCAATAACATTTTTATTAACATCTTCCACTTCTTCTTTTTCGTTTTCTGAACGCTATCATTCACCCTTCCACCATCATTTTTAATTTCTTTACTATCTTTACAAATCTCATTGTCAATTAGAACCTCATTCACATGCTGAACATCGATATTAGATTGAGATTGTCCATGAACACTTGCATTTTCAATATTCATTGGTTCACTAAATTCATATGTTGTCTCTCTTGAGGTTGACATTCCAAAAATAAGTTAAAAAAACAAAATATTACTTTCCAAATTCCAAGAACAAATAAGCAATGAATTGGAATAGCAAAACAGTACTCCCCTAATTGAACATACACCCACTAACATTGAAGGAACTTCTAACATACATTCACTGACTACAACATAAAACCACTAAATTCAACATACATCCATTGACATCAAAGTACAATCACTTGCTTTAACAAACATCCACTGACTTGAACACACATGTACTGACTTCAACATACAGCTGCTGAGTTGAACACACAGCCACTGAGTTCAATTGAACAACATTAAAAAAAAATAAGAATGCTAAAAATCAGGACAAGAACAATATAATCAAACATGTATAATCAGCAGTTCAGCTTCAGCACTTCAACAGCAGCCCCTCGCTCCCCTAGTTGCCAAAGGACCATCCAAGAAGAGAAAGTCTGGTTATTAAGGGAAAAATGTAATCATCCATGGAAAAGAACAAAATGCCATCATACCCAAAATTTTAGAAAAACTAACGACAAGATGAACTATAATTGAAACTTTAAAGACAACAGCAGCAACAAGGCAACAAATCAAGTAAGTTCTTGTATATTCAAGTCAGTGGCAACAAGACAACATGGCTTAAAAAATAGATAACCCACCACCTCACTCCCCTGTTTTTCAATCGACTATCCAAGGGGAGACGATCTGCTTATTAAGCGAATAACATCATCATCAAACGCAAAAAAATTGAACCCTAGCCAAGTGAAAAAAAAAAACAAGAGAAACATATAAACGAAAGACAAAGCCCACCAACATCAAAGCATCAGAGTGACATAACAGAGGAGAATTGCAAAAAAGAATTAGTCGAGAGTTCGATTTTTTTTAATCCAATTGTAAAAACACTGGACAAAACTTACAGAGCTTTAAGGAAAATAGCAATCGCTTGTTGAGCTCATGATTTTCATACTCAGAAATCTCTCTTCGTCGTGTTAGGGCATAGAAGGAAAGTAGGACAATAGGTCACAGCTGTGTGCAAGCTTAAAGTCTCAAGAGTTACTTAAGAATCATAGAATAAGGTTAGGCCATCGAAGTTGTAAATCACTTATATCGAAAATCCAATGCTTGCGAGCAGACGGCGAAACATGTGCGAACTGTGGACCGTTCAATCAAATTATATTATCAATCAAGCCGCTCGATGAGTGTTTTGAGTCGAGCGGGTTCAGCTCGAAATTGAACTCGTATATTATACGTGCTCGACTGAAAGCTTGAACTAGAACTCAAAATTCGATAAGCTCGACTCACAAGTTTGTTAAAGAGTCGAATTCGAGTTGACTGGCTCCCTTACACCCATATAGCCTATCTTCATCCTGAATTTAAAAGAAAAAAATAAAATAATTAGAATGAAAAAGCAACCCGATGGAGGACTTAGGAAAAAAAAAAACCGATGGAGGACTTAATAGTTAATTAATGGAAAAGAAAAGGATACATTGGTCATGAGACTAAATTTGTTTTAGAACGTTGGAGGCCAGCCAGAGCTATAAAGCACCCACTTACCCGACGACTTCCTAAATATATTTTCTCCATCCTCTATCTGTTTGTCTCTCTCTGCTATTTCCTTCTCTTACGCGGAGCTGGGTTGGGATGGTAAGCCCTAACCCTAGGACGAATTGCACGGAATAATCCGAAACGGTGTTTCTCCCAATCATCAGGACGCGGATATAAGCTTGAAGGTGCGAAGCTTCAACATTTATCTGTCCTCTGTTACTTTGTGTTTGGTTTCTGGGGTGGATCTGAGATAGGCTTTGCGGAGCTTCTTGTTCATCTCTTTATTGCCCTTTTTGTCGTGGGAAGTGAAGGGAAACTATAGGGTTTTGCGGGATATCCTTGTTTGGTTATTGGCCCCGAAAAATTTTTTATATGGGTTTCTCGCTCTATTCGTATAATTGTTGTTTGACAGTTTGTTGGTATTCTTGTTCTTTCTTTTTTAAAATTCTTGCTGCTTTTTTGACATCTTTATAGTTGCTTCCTATTTTAGTAACTATTTATTGGTGTAATTATAATAAGTCGTAGATTTACTCATAACCATTCCTTGGAACGATGTCTTAGTCTTAGATTTGTTTATGTTGAAGGTGGAATCTTTGTAATTATAATTATTGTCAAAAATAAGTTTTTTTTTTTTAATTATGTAGGAGAGTTTAGATCTGTAGGATCTGGTTGGAAGCGGGTGGACTATGTTTATCGATGTTTGGAAACCATGAAGTGCTAATTGTTTGTTCTTTGTTCATTTAACTGCCCTCTAATGATCATATGCATTAAATTTACGATTTTGTAGAAGATTAGTCAATTTACAGCATGGTTGCTTCAATTGCTGCCTCTGCTTTCTTCCCGGCACAATCATCTTCTTCCGTGGCATCTGTGAAGACTTCAAAGATTATTGGTGAAGGTCCAGAGTCATTGACTGTTGGGGGAATTGTTGCCAAACCTGCATCATCCTCCGGTGCCATGCAGGTTAAGGTCAATGCTCAAGCTGTTCCTAAGATCAATGGAACGAAAGTTGGTTTGAAATCTGAGTTCCTGAAGGCTGAGGATGATGCTTCTTCTTCTGCCCCGAGAACATTTTATAATCAACTTCCAGACTGGAGCGTGCTCCTTGCAGCCATCACCACCATCTTCTTGGCAGCTGAGAAGCAGTGGACTCTCCTTGACTGGAAGCCACGGAGGCCTGACATGCTTGCTGATGCATTTGGCCTCGGGAAGATTGTTCAGGACGGGCTTGCTTTCAGGCAAAACTTTTCGATTAGGTCGTATGAGATTGGGGCGGATCGAACAGCTTCTATAGAAACTTTAATGAATCATTTACAGGTGAGCTTGGAAGGATATCTATATATTTGTGTTTGCATCTGCCTTTGAACCTTATGTTTTGATACCCCGGTTGCAGGAGACAGCACTTAACCATGTGAAGATTGCAGGCCTTATGGATGATGGTTTTGGTGCTACACCTGAAATGTCTAAAAGAAATTTGATTTGGGTCGTCGCCAAAATGCATGTTTTTGTGGATAAGTACCCTTCATGGTGAGTTCCTGCTCTAACCTTGCTGCTTTTTTCATCCTTCAGTAATAACAAATTGAGTTTGAGAATATTATATACTTTGATATTATATCTGTTACATTTACTGGCATTCCAACTTATGTCATTTCACCCAAAATTAAATTAATATATTTTTTTACAGTTTTGTTATTGTTTTACAGCTATACTCCTATCAGAAGATGTTATTGAAGGCATTTATGCCTATAGTCGTGCATTTATATATGCTCGATATGTGCTATTCTGTATGTTTCTCTCTTGATGTAAACATTATGTAGAGTAGCTGTTTGCTGAATGATATCTAGAGATGTCTTCAAGGTTTATCTATTCATGAATGATGTATAGAGATGTCTTCTGCTGGATTAATTTGGACATTTGATTCTTAGTATTCTTCGGTAGGAAGCAATATGTTTCGTTTCTTTCATCTGATTCTTAATATTCTTAATTTCTGTTGTTTGGGCCATGATCATATCAACTGTAGTGTTTGTTTAACTTGGGATATTTCTTTCACTTCCCATAAAATTAAGGTAATGTGAGCAATTATTGTGGCGGCCAATATCAATTCCTAAGTTACTCAGGAATGCACAGAACACTTGAAATGAGCAAGACAATTATAGTAGTAAGTTGTCTAGGGCACATGACCCAGCTGACTCAGGCTTATCTTACTAAGTTGTTTGATTGTGTGGCTCGAGTTGTTCCTTGACTGTTTCTCTTTTATCACTTCGGATCAAAATATTTGTAATAAATAGGAGGATTTATATACATATCACAAAAATTCTTAGGTATTTATATATGTAACACCTAAAGCTTTTCATTTACTTATATAACACTCAGTGTTTAAATCATATCAAAACGTATGCATGAGAATTTGTATTTGCAATTTAGATAATTTAATTTTAGTAGTATTTTTTATGCGATTTAGATATTAGAGTGTTATATAAGTAAATATAAATATTTAGGTGTTAGATACTTAAGTATATACGAATTTTGTGATATGTGTGTGAATCCACAGAATAAAAATGGGATAAAGAGCTAAAATATAAAGATATAAAGGGAGAAAACATAATCACGTGCCACAGTGTTTTAGGGAGACTACCTGGAGTCATTAGAAATCTATGTCAATATTTCATTGACTTGCAACCAGTGCAATCTAGAATGAAGTTTAATATAATAGAGGTCGATTTTTTTATAATGCTCCCACTAAAGAAATATTTCTAGATTCTCTCTTGCTCCCACAAGTCATTGATTCCGAAGCTTGATATGTAAATTTTCTTTAGCTGACATTGTGCCTAGAAACATTAAAAAAAAAAAAGAAAGAGCCTGACTTGTGCTGTTTTCCATTATATTTACTGTTCCTGTTGGATAACTTCACAACAGTACCGATCATTGGTTACTATAGTACTGGATTTGATATTTATTCTTTTTCGAATTGTGGAGGCAGGGCAGATGTTGTTCAAGTTGATACTTGGGTTGGTTCGTCCGGAAAAAATGGGATGCGCCGCGATTGGCACGTTATTGACTGTCAAACAGGTGAAACTATAGTGAGAGCTACAAGGTCAGCACCTTAACTTCTGTGTATAGCACAATTTTCGCCTATCACTTTATTTCATATAATTACTAAAGAAATAGACTTTTATGATCTACTCTTTGATTAAGGTTCCTTGTTTTTCTGTTATTTCTGTTCAGTGTTTGGGTGATGATGAACAAACAAACCAGGAAGCTATCTAAAATGCCAGATGAAGTAAGGGCCGAAATAGGTCCCTACTTCATAGAGCGCACTGCCATTATAGATGAGGATAGTAGAAAGCTACCAAAGCTCCATGATGACACAGCTCAGTATGTGCGAGAAGGCTTAACTGTAAGTGCAAGATTCAAGATCAGTGCTCTCAATTTCTTTTGGTTCAATGCGTTAATGTTCCATATTTTCTTTTTTTTCTTGTGTAAAACTACAGCCTCGTTGGGCTGACCTGGATGTGAATCAACATGTGAACAATGTCAAGTATATTGGCTGGATTCTTGAGGTAATAATTTGGATGCATTTTTTGAGGTTTACCAATGAACACGCATTGATTATTTTACCTCTATACCGCACAAAGCAAGTTTCTTGAAAAAAAAAATATATTAATACAGTTTCTTTGCATTATTTCATGTCACATGCGTTAGAATGGTTAATAATGGTTATTCAATGATTTGTGGTTTGAAAAGTCGGCATCATGTGTGGCTATATTGTGAATTTATCTTTAAAGTTTGGGGAACAGTATGATCTTGTCTTTTTTTTTTCCCTTTTCTTTTTTGACATCAAGTGCCTAAGCATAAATTGATTTTCAAAACTTTTATCAATATAGGGTTTGTTTATGGTTTTTAGTTTATTAATTTGCATTTCAGATTGCTGCCAGATTATTATTTATCTATTGCATTCTTGCCAATTTTCAGAATTTGTTGAGGCGAAACAGCTTTTACAATTACATTTAGGCTTCATTTGGGACAGCTTCTTTGCTGCTTTTTAAAACAATTTTCTAGTACAAAAAAATTCTTGAATTAGAAGTTTTTGTATTGAAAAGCAGTTTTATAAAGTAGCAAAAAAAAACTGATCCAAACGAAGCCTTACTTTGTAAGATAAAAGTAAAAAAGTTGTTTCCCAATTTTTATAAAATAAAAAAATTATAAAATCCATGATAGTTTTGAAAAGAATTATTTTCTCACAATGGCTTTTTAGCTAAAAGTTTACAAATATCTGAAGCCCCAAATGGACCCTACGTTAGCTGGCAACAACCACATGTTGGTGTTAACCTTCAATTTCTCAAAAACTAGCTCCATCTAATTTAACGCCTTCACATGGTTGAAGTATTATCTGAAAGCAAATCTTTCATAAATATAGTCATACACCACCGGTGGATTGGAACCGTTATCTTTTCTTTTTCATTTCTTTAAAGAACGCTTTAGCTTTTGCTCACTTGGTTTTGGACACAGGGAATAACAGATTACTTCTCATTAACATGGTACCTAACCCTACTTAGAATGAGTTATGATCAAGCAACTCTGATAAACATTTCTATATTTAATCACAGTAGTTACTACTTTCTGGTGAACTAAACAATTTGATATTCCCTCACATTGTGTAGATTTTACAAATCTCTCAATCAAAGTTAGATTTTTTATGTTTTTTTATTTGGAATTCTTACAGAGAATGAGTTATGATCAAAGAACTCTGATAAGCTTTTATATATTTAATCACGTTAATTACAACTAACTGGTAAATTAAAATTTTGATCTTTGTGAAGGATGCGTGGCCTGATGGTTGAAAAATAAATTTTTTTTTTCAGGAGAGTCCTGAGTTTGAGCCACTTGTTTTAGAATTTCTCACTCAATATTTCTAATAAAACTAATTGAAATTTCTTTCCATTCAATAAATTTCTGTAAATCCCTCAACCAAAGTTCAATTTTTATGAATTATTACAGAGTGCCCCAACTACCATTATGGAGAGCCATGAGCTTGCAGGAATGACTCTTGAATATAGAAGGGAGTGCGGAAGGGACAATGTGCTGAAGTCTCTGACCTCTGTCAATAACTGTCCCGGTGGGTCGGAAGGTGCCGGAATGGAGTGCGTTCACCTGTTGCAGCTTGATGGCGGCGATGAGATTATGAGGGGACGAACACAGTGGAGGCCCAAGAGCGCCCGGGTCTTCGACAACAAGGGGCCTCTCCCAGTAGGAAGCTCATGAAGTTTCACTCAACTTATCATCTTGGTTCTGTATCTGCTGCAGCAAAGAGATAGGGAGATGGTGAACCCAATAACTTCATACTGCTGCTCATGTTTATTGTTTATCTTGTTTATTTTTTTGCCTATGCTTGTAATTAAGCAAAAAGCTGTTAGATTTGTGTTCCTTGATGCTTTCTTCTTCTTGTGTGAGATTTAAGGGAAAGTTATTGTAGAATATTGGTTTGATGATAATCATGGCTATATGTTTTTCTCACAAATGTATTAAGTATTTGAAAGGAGATCACTAACTCTTGTTGAAGGCAACTTGTTTGATGAAATTCCATTGTATGATTATTTTTGGGATGATATAATCTATATAAAACAGAATGCTTGTAGAGCTAGCTTTTAGTTAATGTAATGTTGTTTAAATTAATTAGTGATAATTATGTGCTATTTAATTGTCAGAGATTAGGGTATCTTAATATTTGGAGAATGGACAATTTAAATAATATTAATGTGAGCAAAATTCAACATTATAAGATCTGAGCTTCTTTTAAATAAAATCTTTAAGCATTTGAAATTTGTTAGTATGATATTAAATAATTTGCGTTTAATTTGCTCATATTAATTCTTATTTTAGATTATTTTCATTAAATATTTTATACATCTATGTAATCATAATTAATAGTAATACTAATATATAGTTTCACTTAATAGTATACAAATTAGCATTAACTAAAGCTATTAATGCAAAATAATTATAAAAAGTTATGTGATATTAAGAGGCTTGAGTGGTGTGAGAAGAACTTGGATGATATCATTATATAATCTTCCAATTTAGCAAGTTTACCTAAGAAGAGCATGAAAAGCTTGAGTTTTTTATTCAAAGAGGCAATCAAAAGGAGATTTTCACCAAACATGTCTAATAGATAATGAATATAAAATAAGGAGAGATAAGGAGTGTAGTTGTATAAGGCTATCAAAGATGGAAAGGCATTGAAAAGGATGAGAGGAATATGGAATAATATAATGAAAAAAAAGAATGGTTGAAGATAAAATCATTTAAGGATGATGGCATGGTTGAAATTAGAGGAAGAGGAGGTGTTCAAATTGGAGACGAAGAAGAAAAAAATGAGAGAGGTACATCATCATCTCATGCTCCAAGAAGTTCAGAATAATGTGATGAATTTTTTATGAACCATATAATTTAAGACTTTGATATTTTTTTGTTGCATTATCCTTGATGTCATCTTCAAGGGAAACAAAACTTAAAGGATAGTCAAATGAGACCATATATATTGACATTGCTCAATCCTAAATCACAATAGGAAAAAAGATCTAACAAAGTCCTTAAATAAAATAAAGATAAATCTTCCTAAAAAGCTTCTCCAAAAGAAATAACTTGAGTTGCATGAGAAGCTAATAGAATTATTATAGTTCATTAGATGGCTTACAAGACTAACACCTAAGAAATTCATCATGTGTTAGCATTTGAGGTCAAGGTTGCATTTCCACTTGAAGCAAATTTGCCTTCACTTCTTTCTTTTCTAAGCAAGCCAACATAATAAGATAATGTTCGTTTTTTACTTGAAAAATTCAATACTTTAGATAAGACACAACTCCAAGCTTTTAACAAAAACTCATACTTTATAAAGTACAAATGATATAATTTTCTCATTGCTTTCTAAACAAATTTTTAGTACAAATTTTTTTTAAAAGCTTCAAAAAAACATTGGCCAAACGAAACTTTAATCCTACAACTAATTAGTCTGTCCTAGGGCATTCAAAGTTGAGGATTTCATCTAAGTCCTTTGTTAAGAATTCATATCCTGTCAATTTGTATATGATAATTTTAAACATAAGAATGTCAATTCATTATTGAAGAAGTACACGAATGTAAGACTCATCAACTTCTATATTTTAAGATAATATGATAAATTTCTCTCATACATATGGGCCGCCCCAAAAGGCATTACAAGTCTACATTGAGATATGCACGTTCGCCTATTCCCTGTTCCCAATGAGATTATGGTTTTCAAAACCTAAACTTAAATATAGAGTAATATTACACAAACCTATTGGTGATCACTTTCATAGTTATTTTTAACATGACAAAACACCACTTTCATTAGTGATGTCAATATGATTATGTACGTAGCAGAAAGTTCAAGCACGTGATCATCATGGTTAAAAAAAAAGTCTATTATATAACTTTTGAATGAAATTTATCACATTTTTAACTTAAATAATTATTTTTTACAATTAATATTATATAATTATAAGATTAATTTGGAATACCCTCAATTTAATCAACATTAATTAGAATATTTTTTTTTCAATAAAATTTTAATATCATATCCATCTATGACCTAATAGTGATAAATGTATTGATGCAATGAAAAAAAAAAAAACTGTATAAATGCGATGAACATTTCAAACTCTATGAGAAAAATGTCCGGATTATATATATAATAAATTTTTGCATAGTGTTTAGAGCGGATGTTCTCAAAATTCTGGCTATTATTCGACTCCTATCGCTTGTAATTTGTATTCGGCCGAAATTGAAAGGAGAAGAGCAAGGGGAGGAATTGGAAGCGAATATTTGTAAGATGGACTTTCTTTTACAAATCGTTATTTCTTTGTGATGATAGACTTTCTTGGATGAAGATTGTAACCCTAGCTTGCTTTTTTTAATTTTTCGATGTTCTTTTGATTGTATTGCCCTCGTTGAATTGAAACCCTACTTTTGCTCATCTCTTTCCTTTTTTTCTTTCGTCTAAAAGGTTTTTTTCCTTCGTAAAAATGTTTGTTTTCAATTAACGGCCATCATACTTGGCTGAAATGCCTAATAAATATTGTAGTGTTTATGTGGATTCTATTCGTGTTTTGTAAATATATGTGGAATTCTTGTTTCTGAGATGGCATAGTGGAACGCGTTTCGTTCTGTAGGAGATGGCTGAGGAATCTCCTTCTGGAGGGCATTTTGAGAGGGATCTTTCTGTAATTTCCGTTCAGGACTCAAGTGGCGGAATGAGTATGCTCGAACCTGATCAGATGATGGATAATAATTCAAATGATGTCGAGGAAGTCAAAGGTGGGAATCTGAACTTAATTGATGTGGATGATTGCAAGGGGAAAATACAAGATGTTGAAGATGATGGAGTTCCTACTGTGGGAATGGTGTTCAAAACCTTTGAAGAAGTATATGATTTTTATAACCAGTATGCTCGGCGTGTGGGGTTCGGTACAAAGATTAGGAGGTCATGGTACAGTCTTGATGATGGGCAATGCAACAAATTCATGCTCACTTGTTGCAAAGAGGGTAAGAGAGAGTACAAGAACTCGGAACGCTGCAGCTCATATAGATTAAGGCTAGCTGCTCGAACTGATTGTCAAGCCAGGATTAAAGTTTTTAAGAAATATTCTGATGGGATGTTTCACTTAACAGAAGTTAATCTTGAACATAACCATCCTGTTAGCCCATCAATGTCAAGATTCTTTCGTTCTCACAAGGACTTGAATGATGGTGCAAAAAAGCTGCCAGTTATGAGAGGGAAAGGGCATAGGGATATATCATTGGGTGAGAATGAACAAGAGCATTCTTCAATAAAAGCACGGTCTTCTTTCCTAGGGAAGGATGATCTTGAAGCTCTTCAACAATTTTTAGCTCGAATGCAGACCAATGGCACAAACTTCTTCCATTTGATGGATTTAGATGAGGATGGATACCTTAAGAATGTCTTCTGGGCTGACGGCAGGTGTAAGGCAGCATATCAGTACTATGGTGATGTTGTGACATTTGATACTACCTATCTTACAACTAATTTTGAGACACCTTTGGTTTCATTTGTCGGTGTAAACCATCATGGTCACTTGGTGTTGTTTGGTTGTGGTTTGATTTCTGATAGAAGTGTTGAGTCCTATAGGTGGTTATTTAAGTCATGGTTATCATGCATGTCAGGAAGTTATCCAAGTGCCATAATAACCGACCATTTTAAGGCATTACAAGAAGCAGTTGCAGAGATCTTTCCAGGTTCCCATCATCGTCTTTGTTTATTGAATATAATGAAGCAAATGCAAGAGAATTTGGGGGCATACCCTGAATATAAAACCATCAAGGGAATGATGAAAAAAGTTGTGTGTGACTCATTGAGGGCTGACGAGTTTGAAGAAGAGTGGAAAATTATGATTGAGAAATATGTGCTTGAAGATAATGAATGGCTGAGGTCTCTGTATGAAAATAGGCATTCATGGGTACCTGCTTTTGTAAAAGAAACTTTTTGGGCAGGTATGTCAAGCACTCAACATAAGGAAAATATAAATTCCTTTTTTGATGGATTCATTTATCCTAAGACATCCTTAAAGCAGTTCATTTGCAAGTATGAGTCCACTTTAAAATGTAAATTTGAAAAAGAAGCACAGGCGGACCGTGATTCTTTTCATAAAAGCCCACAACTAATATCAAAATTTTACATGGAGGATCAACTGCGTAAGCTTTACACAGTAGATATGTTCAAAAAATTTCAAGAAGAAGTTAAAGCCATATTATATTGTATTCCTTCACTGGTTAGGGTGGATGGTCCCGTATCAATCTTTGAGGTCAAAGAACCTTTGAGAATGAAGGATGGAAATCAGATGGAGAACAAGAACTATGAAGTTACTTATACCTCAAATGAGCTGGAGGTGAGATGCATATGTTGCTCATTCCAAATGACTGGCATATTATGTAGGCATACATTGTCAGTTCTTAACTTTCTTGAGATCTATGAAATCCCAGCTCATTATATTGTTGAGCGCTGGCGAAAGGATTATAAGAACATTCATGTTCTGCCCTGCTTTTCAAATGATATTGGAGCTAATGGGCCAGCTGAGCGGTATGATAATTTGTACAAGCATTGCCTAAAATTTATGGATTTAGGGGCTAGTTCCGATGGGCTCTATGAATATGCTCTTAAAATAATAAGTGAGGCAACAAATGAACTTTTTGCAAGTGATCCAACTTCAAGTGACATACAACCCAGAGCCTGCAATCCTTTCAATGATAAGAGAATTATTGGGAATGAGAATGAGGAGATCTACGATCTTTCAGAATTGAGGCAGAGAAGTCAGCCACTAAAAAAGAGAAAAGAGTTGGCAGAAAAAACTGTAAAAAACAGCAAAAAGAAGGTATTCTAACATACTTTTTTTACTGTTATTTGTATTTAATTTATCTCTCCGCACTCTGAAACATGTGCCTTACGAACATTATCATTATCTTAAAAGGTTCCACCAAGAAAACCAGTGGTGGCGTGTCAGAATGATGTGCTTCGGATGGCCCCTGATACCCCACAATTTGATGCACACATTTGGACACAAGACAACATGAGCCTAGCGGTTTAACATATCTTATGTTTTCGTAGATACATTATTTTTCTTTATTTGAATATTCTATTGATAAGATTCAACCTACCAATGGCCATTAATTACTTGCAGGACCAAGTCAGTCCACCTAACCTGTCAATTGGGAATCATTTTGGAGTACAGATGAGTCAACAACATGTACTTGACAATCAAGCAGGGCTACGATGGAGTTTTCAGCATATTTTCCAAGTATGTACTATGTTTGCTTATTAGCTCAGTCTATATGTATTTATTTCATATCATTGTAATTTCCATTTACAGAGAACTTGTTGATGTTATTTTGCAGCAAGCTCACACACCAGATGGACCTCCAGGCCCATGGTCTGGTTAGACTTATGAACCAGCATCAAATTAGGAGAACTGGACCAGGTATAGCTGGAATAGTTTTCCCAATTCTGTTTCTGTTTATCCTATTTTTGCTTATTTTGAATTCCGCGGATTATGAATGACTGCATTGGTTTGTTTTTATGGCATTCATTATTATGTAGAGAGTTACGGTGTTAATTTGTAATTTTTGTCGTTTGCAAATAAAGCATTTTACTTCCAATTCTCTCATTGCCTTACCACAGTTTTCATTATTGCAGATATTAGTAAATGCATAACATATAACTTTCTCTTCATTGGGTTTTGCAAGTTTGATCATGATACTGTAAACAATACCAAGTTGTTTGATGGATATTTTCTTTCTAGTTGATGTCCATTGTAGACTAAAGAACTTAGTAGAAATTCGGCCATCATTTTGGTTTCAAATATATTGTATTACTTTTATCTGCTACTGTTGCCCTTGTATTATGCTAACCTTGTGAGACTAATTAATATGTAGATTTTGGATTTTCTTAGTATTCATAGGGTACATTCTAGTGGTAACCAATCCACCATCATTAAATTTCGAAATGCATTAACCCTTGATTAGGATTAATAATTTTGACCATGATGGCTTATTTAAAATAAGTTCGTTTCAAGTTAATTTTAATAGAAGAGTTGCTCATATACTTGCCATTGAGAATAGAGACTGCAAAGCGGTTAAATTTCCATGTATAGATTTCCAATTGAATTTAGAGAGGATTTTTTTTTTTTTGTCTTCAGATGTTTTTTCATTTAACCAAGTTGAATCTTTAATTGCCTTTCTAAAAAAACTTCTAATGTTATCAATTTTATTAATATTTTAACAGCCAAAAGAAAAATTAATAAAGAGTTATGATGATAAAATTGAATTAATTAAAACTATTTGACCTTCTTTTGAGAGTGATTTACCTTTCCAGGAAGATAGCTTTTTTCTTTTTTAATTTTATCCGTAACACTTTTTCTACATAACTTTTTAGAAAAGAAAAATATTTGATAAAATTAATTTTGAGATTAGAAATATCTTCAAACAAGAGTAGAATGATTTTAGGAGCTCGTGAGCTATGAAAATTCACGCACCGGCTTCTCTGCGGACTCCTTTTCTTTCTTTTTCGGGTCATTGATGAGAGATTTAACCCTTAAGTTCCAAGACAAATTTTTAGAAGATAGATTGGATTGTGAGAAAGACACTACTTAGAGATTCCGCCCTCATTTTGTGAGGACTTTAGATCAAGTTCAAGTTTCCTATAGGCGCATGCCCCTATAGTTAATTACCCCTCATGATAGCGAGATATAACTTTCGATTAAGGCTAGTTGTGAAACATATACGTAGAGAATACGTGATTTGTTAGACTTTGATACTTTTGAATGTTGTGTAAGAGTGACTATAGGTATTTTATTTTCTTGTACTCTAGCTTCAGGCCTGAATTTTCTGTATTTGTTGATCTCTTACCTTATTCTATTTTTTGTCCGTAATTTGATGATAGTTTTTGTGAGTGTTCCTGATTTTAATTAGATCCGTTAAATTCAGATTTCTTTTTGCAATGTGAATCTTAATTAACTTGTGATTTTTTTATGCTTTAAATTTCCCGTGATCTTAAATATGATTTCATTTTGAGAATCAATAAATTATCTTTTGATGTGGTGTTCTTTTATATTTGTATTATTGTGGTGAGGAGACAAATTCTTGTTTTAATTGGTCTTTAAATCTTGATTGGTTGAATTCATTCATTGTATCGTTTAGTTGAATTAGGAATCCTAGATCTTAGTTAGTCCTACACTCCTACATCAGGGGAGCTTGCTTTATCTAGAGCTGAGAGAAGGGGAAGTTGCAGAAGCCATCTAATCAAGGAAGCCATTTCCATTCTGAAGTTATAATCTTAAATCTAATCTTTTTACATTATACATTCTTCGTTCTTTCATCAAAAGCATTCTCCCTCTCCTAAATCTACCTTTAGTAGCCCCCAAAAAGGAACCAGAATCCCTTAGCTAATTTTTTGGAAGGCGTCGTATCCATATAAGGTTCACACATTCATTTAACTTAAGCCCTATTGAAAGATCTAAGTCCGCATTCCCCTTGATCTATTTCTAAGTTTGTTGGTCTAGCACTACTAAATTTGGATAACTCGATCCACTGATGTAGACTCCTGGACCAAACTGATTGAGGGAACCATGCTTGTTAAAATTTGAGGAGGAAGACGAAGGAAACTCAATGCACATAACTTGGAAGTGTGCACTCAACCTAGACCAGATTATTATGACAAAACAAACAACCATAATTGGTACAATCAATTAATCAATATGTAAAAGTCTATAAATTAGGATAGTTTGAAGATAATATTATCCTTATCTTTATTACTTTAAGTATGAGATTTTTCTTAACTTTGTTATGTTTAACCTAGTAATAATAAATAGTCAGAAATTCAGGCAAACTTAACATGAGCTGCCTAAAAGGGTTTGAAAACTATTCTTGTTTAGTTAGTGTTTCCTGGTTTGAGTCTTTTTAGTTGGCCTACAAAAATTGGTTGTCTGAGAGTAGTACTTGAATTAAATAAAATTATTTTAACATATATATCTTGAATAATTTTAATGTGCTTGATATAGTGAGGACGATTACAAAGAGGAATTGGGGATAGATATGACGACCTCCTCCCTCTCTCCCTTTGATTTTTTTTTTTTAATTTGTAACTATATATAATAATAATTTTTTTTCTTAAATTTCTGTAATTACATATTTTAGAAATTTTATCCTCTCCCACAACAAAATTTATGATAATTTTTGTTCACCTCATCTCATTTTTAAAATTCTAATTTTATTGGGAAATTTACATCAGCATTTCAACCTTATGCCATGAATTTGGGAGCTTTATGAACCTCTTGGAAGTTGGCAGTTCATTTTACTTGCTTTCTTGTTGAATGGTAACCTTAACTTGCACTTTACTTATGCAGATTCTCTAGTGTTGATCTTAACTTCAATCAGTGGCAGATCTAACAAGGTTTTTTTTCTTTTTTTTTTTTCCGGAAGTTGCTGTTGAGTTGAGAAGTAAATGCAAGTGATTAACAGCCGACCAATGGCTTCTCGTAGTCCATATCCCCTTCAAATATTACTGTAAATAACATATTTTCACGAATAACCTTATGTTGTTTATGCGTATTATAACTTTGCAGAAGAGAATATACTTTTTAGATCTTTTTTTTAAAAAATAAATGTATCTGATTTTAAGTGGATTAAGATTTTCGTTGAGACAGCTTTTTGTACCAAAAATCTACTTTCTAAAATAGTAAGAAAACTATCTTAAATTTTTATATAAAAAAAAAAAAATTGTACGCCATGTGGAGCTTAGTATTCATGATGATCAATATAATTGATAATCAGCCTGATAAAAGGCATAAAATTTTCATATCGCTTGATTACAACTGCGCACTGCTTCCTACTGACCAAGACATTTTAATAAATTTTATATTAATAAAAAGAAAATAAAACGAAACATTCAAAAGAAAATTATGGCAGCAGGTCTAAACAATTCTGCATGCCTTGGCTCCAATTTAACTAGGCTTACGATTGAGATTTCCCTTGGCCTATCACATTTATAATCATTAAATTTATTTTTAAATAAGCAAAACTAATTAGATGTAAGGATCATTTTAATTAAATTTGAATTACGAAAATCCCACCCTATATTTCTTACCAAGCAGAGAGCATAGAAGCAATCATGTTATAACCTTACGATAGCAGCTTGACAATGCACAAAATTTTGCCTGGATGTGTGTGAAGTTATTTAAATATAACCCTAAAAAAGGTAGTAAAATGACAGAGTATTAATTACTACTTCCAGAGCTTAACAAACTTATCATGGCTGGCCGAAGCCACCAATCCATTAACGTTTGATGCCGCGAGAGCAGCAATGAGTCCTTCATGGGCTGCAAGCGTCAGCGTCTTCTTCTCTGCCATATCCCACAGCTCCAGCGACTGATAACAGCCAATCAGCAGCAAAGATGAATAGGTGGGGTGGAACACACACGAATGGAATTTATTCCCGCTACAGCTCAATTCATGCACACACTCTCCCTCCCTCCATACCCGGACTGAGTCCTCACTCACTGAAGCCAATAGATCACCAGAAGAATCCCAGCATATTGAGTCAACATGTTTAGAGTGCCCCTGCATCAAAAATAAAAAACTTTTTCAGTTAAAAGCATTCTATGATCCCTGAATTCTGTGCGGACACCGGATGGGAGAACGAGCGTCCGGATGTTCGCTTGATACAAACCTGCAATGAATGAAGGAGGCTCTGTGTTTCTACATCCAGTACAGCCACTATGTTCTCTGCAGCAGCTGCTAGATATCGTCCCAAACGCGGTTGAAATCTCATTTGTGCAGTGCCGCCCTGTAGATGAGAAAGTGTTTCAGAGCTGCTGCCCTTTTAATCTCAAGGTATGCATAAAAGCCCCTATTAAAAAGGGAGGCAAAAAAGCAAGTACCTTGAAGACTCTTGCACAACTACCATTAGTAATACTCCAATATCGTACTTCCCCCTCTCCATCGCATGAGCATATCAAATCCTCTTTATTGGGATGAAAATCCAGAGACATTACAGATGCAGAATGCCCAGTAAAGTTGCGCAGTGAATATCCCGGCTGGAATTACATATCAAGTATAGTACATTAATGTTTGTGCTCATTCAGAACACCAATCAAATCAAAATTGATCATAGCAAGTGCGTATAAATTTTATTTTGGGCATGTCGATGAAGAATGCCTATAAAGACAGCATGTTTCCTTTAATTTTATTATTGAATTAAATGGATTAATAAGTAGTATGGATGGCTCAAGCCAGGGGTGGTCACCATAAAATTGAAATTTTGGTGTTCTAAATTTAATTCACTTTTTATCCTCTCATTTAGTAAGGTAAAGTTGATATTATGTAATGATGTTGTTTATTGTCAAGAGTATGTTGAACTATTATTATTAAAAAAAAAAAAGAGAGAAAAAACAAAACCATTTCTACCTAAGCCATGTCACACACTCTCACATAACCTTCCATGATCTCCGAACCGAGCCCACTTCTCTTCTTAAGGTGGCAAGCTATGATTCCCTCCTTCCTCAACCGACTGTCTTTATTATGGGCTCCGAAAATTCCACGTGGCACCCCAGCCTCTCCGCGCCAGTCTTTCTCTTTTCTTGTTTGTGATGATGGCGGAGAGTTTTAACAGATTTAGGTTACGGATGAATATTCATAAGGCGGATCGGATTTTGGATAAAATACTACCCAGACATTTCACCCTCATTTTGTGAGGACTTTATGATCTGCATTCCATTTTAATCATATCATTTAAGTTATTCAAATAATTTCATATTGATCTATATAATAAACATCCTATGTCTATAAACATCATGACATAGGATGAATAATATCACTATAATATTAAATTCAAGTCTTCCCGTTCAATATGATCAATTGTCTTTGATAAAGAAAATTTATATAACATTAATAATAAGCAATCAAATAATAACAGTATTTGATGCATCATATGCAGAAGAAATAAATATCATTATTGTAATTAAAAAACATGAGTACTCATCATAAACTTAAGAAATGCGCTACTTCACTTTTACTCATTATTTCAACAACGGTAGATTTAAAGCCTTCTTCCCTTACACGCGACTCTCGCTTGCCCTATCCATCTAGTTCGCTTCCCTCCTTATCTCTTTCTCTCAATCTCCCTTGCTTGTTGATCAATCCATAACCCTAACTTGCACGCACGCGTCTTTCTTCTTCCTCCCTTTTTCCTTCTCTCTCTATTTCTTCCCTTCTCCTTCTTCCTCTTGGCACAACTTCATCTCATTCAAAGTCTCTTCGGTTCAAAAGGAGGGAGTGAATTACAATTATTCTCCATGAGGAGTCGTTACTTTTCGCATCCAAACGTATTCCCTTGCTCAATTTCATGATTCACCCCGTCAGAAGCTCCCGTGCTCACAGTTTGGCCGCTCGACTCTGCTCGTTGTGCTCGCACTATTCATTCCTCTGTTAGAGATTTAGGGTTGGTTCAACTGAACCAGCTAAGCTCGGTTCTTACAATTTTAGGCCTTTTTGTTTTATGCAAATCTCTTCAACTTTAGCTAATTCTTTGTTACCCTTATCAGACTGATTTGTACCCACTTCTGCCTTGCTCTTAGCTGCCCAAGATTATAGCTACATTTGGTATTCCACGTTGATAAGAAGATAAATGATTTGAATTCAATGTATATTTTATTGAGAGTTTTTACACTCCTACTTATATTGCAATATATTTTAAAGTATGCTAAGAAATTTCTACCTATAAAAATTGATGATTACATAGTGATTACAGTACAATAATCCTAAGATAAAAAAATACAAGTACTTAACCATGTTTCGACATCTACATCCACAAAAACAAAAATTAATGTTCAACAATTTGCAAGTATTCACTTCACCCAAAACCTGTGACTAAATTCTTCCCAAGGCACGCAAATTGCAACCTTGGACCTCCAACTTCCAGTTCCACATATTGCCAAGCCATCCCCATCAGATGAGGCGGCCAACACTATTTAAGTCAGTTTTGTGAATTATTTTTCCATCCATTATGTCGCTTTCTAATCCAAATATTTTAAATTTTTTGTTTATCCCCAATATCTAAGCAATCCTATAAATCATACTAAAGTTTAATAAATAAATGGTCTAAAGGAATATAATGCACAGCTTTTGATTAAAAAAATCTTATTCCAGTTTCAGTCTTATATGCATATTTAATGTGTGATCCTTTCAATTGCAATATAACTTGACTACCAAATTTAAGGAGAGATTATCTACTTATACTGGCGAGAAGCCAAAATTTTCTTTAAAATATTGAACTCCTTCCTTTTCTCCCTTTCTTCTTAAAACTTTGATATTGGCTCGCTAAAATTCTTAATGTTAATTAAATTTAACACACCTAAGGTTTCAATTGTGGTGTCAAATTTACATTGCTTACTTTTTGGTTTGTTTAAATTTCTTGTTCATTTATTCAAAATTAATTGAGCATTGCATTAGCATTAATATTCAAATTATCATATTTTTTATTCCCACCAAAAAAGGAGTAATTATATATTTAGTGGTCTTGCATTTGTAAAACCTAATTTTTTGCATGGTCTGTTTTTATTATATCATCCAAATTGTATTAGGAAAATTAAATCCTAAACCATTCTACATTACTAAGGTAGATAAAAAAAAGAGAGACAGAGAGAGACGGAGACAGAGAACAAGTATTGCTTTTGTGCTCATGTTGGATTGCTACAACAAAGAGGCAAGCATGGCCTTCTCAATGGCAAGCATAGTGATGTTAGCCACGACTATTATTGTGTCAGAAGTAAATGCGGTAGAGTCAAAGGAAAGCATGGTGATGCCAAAAAACTATTCTTATTATTGTGAATGGAAATGATAATAAACGATCTTTTAATATGAACACTTCCAAGTCCTTAGATCATAATAAGGTTCTTTATTAACCTTCTCTCAAAATTCAAGATAACTGAGAATTGCATGGAAGATAAACTTGTGATTCACTCATTTAAATTACAAGGTATTTTTTTTGCAGTCATGGGCATGGATGAATCAATATCCATACACATATTTCTTATGTCTTCTATGTTATGTGTTGCACTATTTTTTCCATCCTCCATTAGATTTCCTATATTTCTATGAAGCTAACCATTATAAATGTATCATTTCCCTTAAGATCATCTTTGCAAGAAAGAATTCAGGAATATTAAAAGTTTACAGAATGATAAAAGAAGTTGCAATATTGGTTTAAGTCCTTTAGGAAAACACACACAATAACAGACCATATGGATTGTTAGAAATAAGATAAATTTTATAAGAATAACACTAAAGAGTAATATTGATCCAAAGAAAACAGAAATGACTTACATTATCAGCATCCCAAACCCTAACAGTTTTGTCAAAAGAAGACGTGGCCAACCTTGGCATGCTAGGGCTAAATCTAACATCAGTTATTAAATATGAATGCTCTTCCAGCGTTGATTTTGGCTTCAAAGTATCTGCAAACCACAAGACCGCCTGCATTGCCCAATTAATATAAGAAAATTGAGAGCTCGTTCCACCACAGTCAACAAAGAAGAAACATGAAACTAAAACTGAACACATTAATTACAGCATACCTTCTTGTCATGACCGCCTGTTGCTAGAAGCTTTCCATCTGAAGAAAAGTGGCAGCAGACAACCTTGTTCGAACTTGCCCGTGCAACTCCAATTTCATTGAAGGTAAAACCTGCCAATGCCAAGGTCAGCGAACATGTTATAAATGCAAGCTCCAGAGTTTTTATTCTAACAAATATTACTGCATGAAAAGAACTGCTTATTATTATTAATGCTATAATTACTTTCTGTCGATACAAATATGCATACCTTTGGTCACATCCATACACCGACCGACAGCAGCTCTTGCATCTGTGTCATCCTGAGAAAGAAACGATTCAACATTGTCATCCAATGATCCATCCTCCACAAACCTGTCCATGTCAGCCTGTACTTTGTCATCCCACTGCAAAAAGAGTAACAATTCATTATAAACAGGCATACTTTGTACTTGAATTTATTGCAGCTCTGCTAGTGCTAATTACCAACTGATTTGATGGAGAAGTTAAAGTTCCTGTAGCATCGGAGCCAAACATCAAGAGAGGCTTATTTGAGCTCATAGACATCACATCACCAGGTGTCTGAGTGGAGGGTGTTGATGGTGCTGAGCTTGGAGAAGGACCAGCAGTGTTGGTCGTTCCTGAACTATTTGCTGGACCAGAAGATGACACAGGTTGTTTCCGCTTACGACCAGTTTGGTTTTTTGTAGCCTAGATACCCATCCAAAGATTAAGGTTTGAAGTCAATCAAAGAAAATTAAACAAAGTATAGCAGACAGAAACAAGGTCTAGTTAATCAGTACAAAATAAGTTACAAATAAGTACCGGATCATTTCCTCGGAAGGAGTTTGAGATGCTTCCATCTGCAGTACCAGTGCCCATTTTTTCTTGTTGACTAAGATGAGGACTTAAACCATTTGATTGCTGATTAGACATAGCATGCTGTTGCAATTGCTGGTGTTGTTGGCCACCACCTTGCTGCTGCTGCTGAAGCTGAGCTATCTTCTACTACACAAAAAGCAGTAGTAAGAAGGCTGACGGTATAAAAGAAAAGGTTAAGAAACTAACTTTTTATCAATATAGCAATTTTTAAAAGAGTATTAGGCATCCTCGTCGCTTTCTCATTGTGGTTCTACACAGTTTTTCTATATAAAAAATTGGTAAAAGGATAAATTAGGAAAGATTACTGCAATAGGGGGGAAGCCAGTTCTTACAGAAAGAAAATAAGCTTCTCGTAAAAGGCTATAAATTACTATAATAGTAAAACACTATGAATGGCAAACCTTAATCAACATGTCCGTATCAGCACGTGGCAAACCAGGACATCCAGCTGGCATTGTAGCTCCAACATTCGGAATAGTATCACTCACTGAATTCACCATGCCATCCTTTCCAAGCCCAATGGTCCTGTTACCGAGCAACACCCTAAGTCTTCTGCTCTCCATGTCTGCAGCTGATTGTGGCATTAAATTTTGTGTTTGAAGTAGGATCTGCTGCTGTTGTGGACATAATAATTGCAACTGATTAAATGTTTGGGAAGATGGCATTAATGACTTCTGCTGAAAAATCCCAGATCGAAGTTGCTCAAGGCCCTGAATATGAGTAACAAACTTAACATTAGTTAGCCAAAAAAACTGTAAAGTTGCAACAACCAGCATCTGCTAGAGATTTCTTTATTAAGTAAACTGTTTGGCTAAAATCAAATCAATGCCTATTTGTCAGGGTGGTATGATATGAGGCATTGATGCAAAACTAAAAGTCTAAATTCAATGAAATGCAAAATGTATGTGTTAGTGTTGACCTGTAAAGTTTAAACAAAAAAAAAAAGAAAATCAAATCCCTTACCTGCCTCCCCACGTCGCACGATCCAGCGCCGCTCGTCGCACGTTGAGGCCATACCAAGCGTCGCATCTCGCACGTCGCTCGCACGACTCACTCGAGTCGTTAAAAGGCTCGAGGAAACGAGGCCTTCGGCCTCTTCTCCGCACAAAAAAATCCTCGATCGTCTCTCGCTCTCTCACTCCTCTCTGACTCTCACTCTCGCTCCTCCTTCGTTGTTGTTCGGCTTCGGTGCTTCACAGGAGGTGTAGAGATTGCAGGCGCCGCTTCTTCGGCTCCTTAGGCTGTTCGACGTCGCTCCTTCGGCCGACTTTCCCTTCCCTGTCGGGACGGAAGTTACGGCATTTTGATTGGACGCAAGAACCAGGAGCTTGCGGTTGTGTAGGTAACTTTCTCCCTACCGCACGCTTCTTCGGCCTAATCCAGTAAATCCGGCCGAACCATGAGGGGGGAGGGTTTAATTTTTACTTTACTCATTATTATTAATTATTTAAATCATTATTTAATTATGTAATTAATTAATTAATTAATTATAGTTAATTAATATTTAGTAATTAATTACTGATTATAATTGATTAATATTAATCAATTATAATTGTAATCTAGATACTAATTATAATTAATATAAATAAGATATTACTAATTATTAATTATAATTAATTATAATTATTATATTATAACTTAATAATTAGTTATTAATTACAAGTAAATATTATGCAATACTGCTTGCCCTCATACCTCGTCACGAGCTTGCCGGCCCGACCTTCATCGACGACCGCCGCGTCCACGGCCCCGAACGTATTTAATTTTCTAAAAAACTTTTCAGGCTTCCGTCACTGGCGTGTACACGGGCCGGGATAGACCACCTAAGCACGCCTTTTGTGAGCGTGTAGGCAGGGAATTCGGCTCCGACGCCTACTACTGAGGCGGACACGTCGCCTCTCCTTCTCGCCTCTCTTACCTCGTCATGCGTGCTCGAGCGGTGCGTCCACCTATGGCAACGCCTTTAATTGCAGATTGGTGGGAGGCGGCAATTGCCGACACCTACGACAAGGTAACGAGCGACCCTCGCCCTCCTTTCTCGACATGCAGTCGGACCGCAACCTAAGAGCCTTTGTGAACGTGGTAGGAGGGAAACTGCCGTTCGACGCACACGGCGGAAGGTCAAGGCCGAGCCGTGTACCCTTTCTTTCGCCGGCCGGAATAATCAAAGACCCCGGCGGAGGGGCAAGAAAAAACTGCTCTTTTCTTGTAACAGGGTCACCTGTCAAGACCCCTAATGGCACGCCTCTTATTGCGCAGTGGTGGAAGAAAAATTTACAGCCGCGGTGTCCTCGAAAAGAGGGCACTACCATGCACGCCTTTATTGCGTGGTGGAAGGCCATTTTCTCGTTAGTTTTTCCCCTAACAGGGAGGACGCCGCGGAGGCTGCCGAAATTTCGCTGAAATACATACTACACTTGCTGACCTGTTTGCACTCAAAAGAACAAGAGCCTGCGACTCAAATAATGGAAAGAGCAGTGGACTTTCGAACTTGATGAACTATGAGCAGAGGACCTGAACAAAACTGAAATGATCCTAAAGGTCAAATCCAATAAAAATCAAATCAATTGGAACTTAAAACTCAATCCAAAAGAACTCGCAATCAAATTTGACTGCAAGGAATAAATCTAACTTGGACTCAAGCCTAAAACAAATGTGCAAGCGGTCTGTGTCAAGACTTGCGATATCCAAAATTTGCTTGAACATCAGGATTTGAGTCAGACTGAACAATAAAATAGACCCGTCGCATTCAACACGGCTCACCCGCCAATGACTACAAACCACCTGAGATTGGTTGGAAATGGTGTTTCAATGGAAAGCAGGCTCTCGCTACGAATACTACTAGAGAGGTGCTATACGGATACAACGATCTCAGCAAATATGAATACTTGTGGATAACAACAGTTATGCTGTATGTCGTATGTCTAACAACAAACCACTGTGGACACAAAGTACATCTCCTACGGACGATTCCTACGAGGGTCAAATGAACTATATCTGGAATAAAACAACGTAGTAAAGTTGCAAATTCACATACGACTTGTCGTATGTGCTAATATGCATTTCTAATACAAAAAAAAAACAACTTGTTGATTGAATGGCTATACAGAAGACCAATGATGGAGGATCGCCTACCTACAAATAAATTACAATCAACAACCCACCCGAGATTGTTGAAAGGGTATTATGGTTGCCAGAAACAAGGTGGTCTTCGTACAAATATTTTAGGAGGTCGTATGAATACAACGTCCCCTGCAAATAACTACAAACCACTTGTGGATAACAACAGTGAGAAACCTTCGTTAAGCATAGCGAACCATTGTGGACACAAGATACGGATATCACCTATGACAGTGATTCAAAGATCTACTAAGTGCGTTGAGTACAAAAGCAGCTCGATGTACGAAAGAACCACCCCCGGCAGAGGCGAAGAAATTGTTTGAACAAATTAGGAAACAAACTTCCTGGCTGCTTCCAAAGTCTCTTTCTTAGTTCTAATTTAAGAAAAAAAACAGCTCTGGTACCCACAAACACCGAATAACAAGTTCTACTACGCCGAAGAGCCTTTGGTGATATCCGTACTTGTGGTAGATGTGACCAAAGGAGTTCTTTCCAAATCAGCAGTCTTTGACTCAAAAATCAAAAAATCCGTCCCTGTGATTGAGAAAGGGGGAGGTCAATATCAAACCTAGAACGCCACCTGATCTGCACATCTATGAAAGAAGACAGAAGGGCGTCCACAATCTATAATGCAGCCACGGATCTGCAACATCTATGAAAGCAAGACAAAAAGGCGTCCACAATCTTAATGCAAACGTCACCGAATCTACAACACTGATACAGCGGACAAAACGTCCACAAATCTACAAAGCCAATGCCACTGGATCCGCAATAAACCCGTGCAGGCGGAAAGAAGGCGTGTATAAGCTCTCAAATAGTAAAGTTGTGCGCACAAATGACCTGTACCGCACAACTACAAAATATTTATCAAAGTACCCCCACACAAGTGCCACCGTGAGTATTGTATACACATAGGTACACAAAGGGGGTAAATTAATCGTAACCCGCTTGGGCCCCCGGCGAGTGGTTATTGGTACACACGTTGGTCCTAGGGATGCTGCAGGGTTCGCGGGTCGATAAGTGAATTCTAGTTCGAACATCTGATCCTTCATACGAGGCTAAATAAAAGTCCGATTAGGTTCGAACCTTGTAAACGCAATACACGCGTTGTGCGACCAAGTGTATTGTTTCAATACATTCATATTAAAGCCTTAAGGCTACAATCAAGAAATTCACAAACAAAATGCAACAAAGCCTACAAGAAACCCGATCCTCGAGCAACAACTTGTCCGAGTTGACAGGGTTTCAATCTACAAAATGAAAATGACCCCGAACAACCCCATGATTAGCCTCGTGTTGAATGCTAATCTCACCGGAGGGTCAAAAATATTCAAAATGCCCTCAAACTTCTACAAAATTCAATATTTTTCAAGTGACCTCGCGATGTCACCTCGATGAATGGCCGTGTTGATTGCTTATCTCAACCGGAAGGGGTTCACAACATATTTTCAAATGGCCACCCAAATACTCAAAAAATCCAAAATCAATCCAAATATTTAAAAATTGAAATTCTATCCTCAATGCTCAAAGAAAAATCCATCCACCCTGAAACTGGCAACACGTTTTGACCGCAGGTGGAAACAGAATAACGGATTTGGACCCAGCCTCAACCAGAGAAGCCTGTCGATTCTAGATGTCTCAAAAACCTAAAGCGTGACGCCTAACCAGGTTCCGCAACACCACAAGATAAGTTACGACTGCCTACGAGTGGTTTTGGCCAATGACCACGCCGTATGGCTACCTTACTCCTTAGTGGCATCAAAATCCTTGAGATATGGAATCAATAGGATATGATCTCATAGGGCACATAAGCCCTTTGTTAGCTAAGGTGATCAAAATTTTCGTCCACTTAGACAAACATATTCAGCCCCAGGTCTACAAGGTCCCCTTGGACGAAAGCAACCCATGGCTTTTGCCGACAAGGAATCCGTTCTGTCAGGTTTGGGTCGAACACCTCCTCTGACTAAGTAGACCCAGGCGACCACGATGGCCCGGGACGACGAACCATGGGATTCTTGATCCAGGCCCATCCATCACTCCCCCACCATCCGCTTTTAAAGTGCTAGATGGTGCAATTTTCTATTTAAAATATCAAACTCTCCAAATTCTCAAAATTCCAAAATCCAGTTTTCAAATCCATATTCATTGCTGCTACTATATGCCAGATAACACGTATATTCTACGTATCTGATCGAGGACTAACCTTAATCGAAAGTTCTCTCTCTTTACTGGGAGGGGTAATTAACTATAGGGGCTTGCGCCTATAGGAAACCAGAACTCAGATCATAAAGTCCTCACCAAATGAGGGCGAAATCTCTGGGTAGTGTCTTATCTACAAACTCATCTTCCTTCCAAAATTTACCCCGAAACTTATCAGTTAAAACTCCCTCGCTCAAGCAAAAGCAAACAATCAGTGCGCGGCGGGGAGGCCGGGGCCGAATTTTTGGAGCCCACAGTTAGATCGATCAATTTGACTTACAAATTTTAAATTTTGACTTTCAAATTTAGCATTCTAAATTTGTTGACCAATGGACCCCACCTCACACAGTTTACTCCCAAGCAACACAACAGTTTACCCAACCGACGCCTCGCTTCATTTTCACAAAACTGCACGCAGGAGCCTCACGAGCCCACAGTTAGATCGATCAATTTGACTTACAAATTTTAAATTTTGACTTTCAAATTTAGCATTCTAAATTTGTTGACCAATGGACCCCACCTCACACAGTTTACTCCCAAGCAACACAACAGTTTACCCAACCGACGCCTCGCTTCATTTTCACAAAACTGCACGCAGGAGCCTCACCCGTTTTCATTATTCACATGCATGAACCTCCCAGACACTGCTCGCCTCTTTTTGTTCGCTTGCATGACCCCACACGAAATTCCCAGCTCGTTCACTCCCTCTTATTCAATCAACACTGCACACGAGTACCCAAACCTCCCATTAGATCCCTCTCGCTCGACTTCCAATACACGTCCGACCTGGCCAATGCAACCCGAGTAGCACTCACCCAAATCACTAACTTCCTAATATGAGCTGATCTGTTGTTTAGATCACTATAGTCCCAACTAGGGGTGAAAACAAGTCGAGTCGAGCTCGAATCAGGAGTATTCAAGTCGAGCTAGACTGCCAAATATCAAGCTTGAGCTCGAGTCGAGGCTCAAGCTTGGCTTGGCAAGGGAAAATGAGCTCGCCGAGCCGCAGTTCGAGCTGCTCGTCCGCATCCGTTATGCCACCCGCATCCGCATCAACATCCGCGTATGTCGTGCCACCGTCGTCTGTGTTAACATCTGCGTATGTTGTGCCACCTGCGTCTACGCCTGACGTGTCGCCCGCGTTCACCATGCCACCATTATCCACATCCGACGTGTCGCTCGCATCTGCGTATGTCATGCCATCATTGTTTGCATACGAAGTGCCGCATGTCGTCGGCGTCTGTCATGCCGCCCGCGTCCATATTTTTATTTCTCCACCAGATTAAGCCCTGCGGTTTCATTTTCCAGCCGCAGTAACGCGAGTCGAGCGAAGGGTTATTATATCTCGAGCTTGATAAGCTCGACTCGTCGAGCCTGTTAACGAGTCATGCCCGTTAACGAGTTGATCCTGGGCCGGCTAGTGAGTTGGCTTGACTTGGTTGCACCCCTAGCCCCAACACTAAACAAAATAATAATAATAATAATAGGTATAAATTTTCTTCCTCGCTTGCTTGAACAACATGCATTGAAGACCCGTCGTTGTATCTTTGATCCGACCAAGAGAAGAACCAACAAAGTGATGCGCCATTGTATGATGTAGAACATATATGGCGGGAGGGGTCATTTGAAAAATTAAAATTTGAATTTAATTTCAGATTTAAAAAAAAAAGGGGGGGGGGGGGCGACAAGTGGAGGGAAATTTTGAATTTCAAATCACCTTAAGTGGGGAGGGTTTAATTGGGATTTGATGGGGATGGGGGTTGGCGATTACTAGGGGTGATTGGAGTTGATTGAGGGCTTTAATGGAGAGGCATTAATTAGAGAGGAGGTGAGAGAGGGGGCCGGCCATATGGAGAGGAAGGAAAAGTGTCCACGTGCAATGTATGTGGATCAAGAATTAAATGGGATTGGGAGAATTAAATCTGAAATTAATTTCATATTGAGAGTAATTGGAGGAGACTCCATAATGTAGAATTTGTTAAATTGGAAATGTTTTGAAATTCAAATTTATTTGAATTTAAAATTGAATGACTTTCCAAATTAACAAAATCTAAATTAGGAAGGTAATCAATAAGGGGGATAGAGATGTCTAGGTTCAATGTCTTTGGGCTCGGGATTAATTAACCAATCAATTTCAGAATTGATTAATCAATTGAAGGAAAGAAGTTTCCAAAATTAATGTAATTAATAAGGATGGATTTGAAATTCAAATTAGATTAATTTGAATTTAAAATCTTTTCAAATTAATGACAACATAAATAAGGAAAGAGAGAATTTTGGAGGGATGTGGGGCTAAGGAAGGAGGTGGACGGTGGGTGGGTGGAGCCATGGTGGATTTTGGCCAAGGGGAGGGAGGGGCTTGTGTAGGTCGATGGTGTGGAGGTGATGGGGGTGAGAGGATCAGCGCTTTGGTGGAGGGCTTGAGGAGGTGGCAGATTAGGGAAATAAGGAAAAACAAAACAAAGAAAAAAAGATAGAACCGCGAGCCTTGGACTCTTCCGAAGACTGACGGGTGATACAATGCCCTTCACCAAGGGACTTCAAGCCAAGAGCCCGGACCCATCTTGCGGCTGGTGGAAACTACGATTCCCTCCATAGGGATTCTCACTAACGTTCTCCCAAAGAAACTAAAAAGACAACTTTGCCCCTTGGGCTAATATAAGACAAGACTCTTAAATAAGAGTAAAAATGAAAAATGCATAATTAAAATAAAAAATACAAATAAATTTTTAAGATAACATAGGATGATCACGGCCGTCGATTTTCAGTTCCTCGGATAGGCATGGACGGTTGGATGTCCACATCATTGTATCTTTGATCCAGCCAAAAGAAATGAACATAAAAAGACCACAAACCGTCGTATCTTTTGATCTAGCCAAAAAGATTGGATAGCAAGTGCCTACCCGACACCTCCTGCACTGGAGGCCGATGAGAGGCTGCCAAAATTTTAAATGATAAAAGAACTTCACATAATTAATTTCTAATAAAATTTGTCATTTTAAATAATTTTTAAAAATAATTAATAAATTAAAATAAATTGTGTCATTTCAATTGATAAAAAAAGGGGTAGAGGGCAAAATGATTTGATTGCACGAAAATGATCTGGCTCAATTTTTAGACTTGGCTCAATATATGATACATGAAAAATTAAAAATTTTCATGGTTCGTTTGTGGGCTCCGAAAATTCCATATTAGCGCTCCCCGGCCCCTCTCGCCATTCGATTTATTTTTCTTTTAAGTGTGACAAAGGCAGAGAGTTTTAACGAGTTTAGGTTCCAGTGGAATTTTTAGAAAGCAGATTGGGTTTTTTAGATAAGACACTACCCAGAGATTTCGCCCTCATTTTGTGAGTACTTTTATGATATGGGTTCTGGTTTCCTATCGAATAATCATGTGATTGTTACTGTTACCAATTGAATGATAACATGGATATTGTTTTTCTACTATGCTTTGAATTTAGTAAAAGGATTTTAGTGACTTGTTGAGTTACTTAACTCATTATGAGTGATTTAAGTGATTCAGGTTATGATAGTGGATCAGGTGTATGAGAATGATCAAATCAGGATTCAAGTTTAATGTTAATTTATTTATTTGTGTTTTAGCTATTCTCTTATATTTATTATTGGTGATGATAGATTGTAATCGTATGATTCCTTAATATTGTATCTAATTTTTTGGTAAATGAATTTAGATATATATTGATGTTTTGATTAATAAAATTAATTTTCGTTGATATATGATTTTATTATTGATAAATGAAATTAGATGACTATGACTATTATATAATAAAAGATTAAAAAAAAAAAGAATCCATCCAAATTAGATTCTGAAGCGTGACACTTTCTTTCACATAATAAGCCCGATCCATTCCCCCTGCTTCAACCACCATCCAACTTGAATTCTACTAATATAATGTTACAACTTAAATAAAATTTTGAGGCTAATATGTAACAAAAATTTTAAAATAATATTTATCATAAACTAATTATGAAGGTCAACTATATAATTAAGTTTAAAACGTTAAACAAGGAGATTATATTGTTTTCAAAAAAGTTCTACGGTTTGAAAGATAGTGCAAGATAGTGCAGCTGTCTTGTACGAGGTGGACTGAGGAGTTTCAATGGGAAGACTCGCAGGAATACTCCATCACACATTTTTTAATGGATTGTTCATTTAGCATAAATTTCAAAACATTTGCGTAGCTTTGATTCTAAATTTCTAGTCATTATTTTAGATACAAGGATATTGAACTTTTCATCTTGATTTCATCATGTTTTTAATTTTCATCTAAAGTAGCAAATGATTGCTCAAGATTAACAATGTGTTCTATGAATTTTTGCTGCTTTTATGATTTTCCAAATCTCATAATAATCTGCAGTACCGAAAGCCTAAGACATCCAACATCATTCAATGCACATGAAATCCAATATCGCTGCAAAATCAACAGCTTCAACCATATAATTAAATAATGGGTAGTTAGGTATCATTGTAGATACTCCCAAAAAAAAAAACAATTGTTTGTATAAATTCTTAGATACATCTACTTTCCAGTATAATTCACAGAAGAAAGCAATTAGTTAATCGTCCCAGATACCATTAGACAGCTTAGTTGAAACACTATCATCAAGTCAAAAAATAGAAACAAAAATAATTCAGACATGACCATTCAAACCCATTCAAGAATTTAGGTTCTCCAAATAATTATGGCACTAGCATTATTGACGAGACAAACGTATGTATATGTGCAGAAAAAAAACTCACAGTGAGAGGCCATCCTTTGAGAGTTAAATTGTTTCCACTCTGGGTAGATCCTGCACCAAATACACATATGTAAAGCGTAATATCAATAAAGAAAGTCCTTAAACCAAGCTACTAAAGTGAACATATCATGAAATCCATTATAATAAAATTGGAAGAACTTGATAATAAAGTTGAATAAGCAAATCAGATGTATATCACTAAAATCATCGCAGCTAGGCTTGAAAAAAGGAAATCTAGCATCAAATAGTATAAATGAGATTTTCCACGGCTCTGATTACATATCAGAAATACATATTGGCGATATAAAGAGATAAAGCAAATATTTGTGCATTATACAAATTGGCACTATAAAGTGAAGCAAGTATTTGGGCATTATGCTCTAATAATGAATATATATTGCAAGAACTTATTACCAGGAACTCCATTTAATGGTCCATCAGGAATAGAAGATCTTGGAGTCAATACTGTATTCATCTCAGTCTTGATATCCTGCAATGAACGTTAGTGATGTCAATCTTCCACAGGAGAAAAGGATCACAATTATTCTACAAAGTACCTGTATTCCACCAGGTTGTTGATGGTTCCTAGCCTGCACCTGCTGCAAGGCCCCAGAGATGGCACCAGTTGATCCATGTAGAATTTGCCTACCAAATTGAAAACAATAATAACCAATAACCATACAATACGGTTGTCAAAATTATAATTCTCTACTAAATTAAAGTGTAAACACGTTTCCAATAGCTGAAAAATTAAAGGGAAAAAAAAAGATCCCAGGCAGAAAATCAGCATTTACTAACACCACCACCACAACAACAACAACATCAAGCGTATATCCCACTACATGGGGTCGGCTACACGAATCATTTCTCTCCATTGTCTTGTTAAGAGTCAAATTCTCATTTAAATCTAATAAAAAAATTGACATCTCTAATATATATTTAAAAAAATATCTACCCGTATTAAAGATTTTTTTTTTTAATAGTGCATAATCAAATATCAATGAGTAGAAATGCAGTACTAAAACGAATGATACACAAACTATCTTCAATATCATCTATGAAATTCTGAATAATGTACCAGATGTTTAGAGTTTAGACCACGCAATATATCTAAATATCTAATCTCCTAATTAGTGTTGTTGAGGTGAGTGGCATGCACAACCAATTATCGGACAAAAGTTGAAAGATAAGTTGATGTTTCATCATGATTAGTGAAAAGTGTATCAAGAGTTTTACAAACAAATATTCAAACTAAGAAATAAGTTAAAACAACGGTTGGCACAAGGGCTTCAATCTATGATTCAGTAAATTCTGAGAATGAATAGAATGACTTAGAGCAGACAAAAAAATGAAGGATGAAGAAGAGTGTGGATGATGATGAATGTGGAAAAGATAATAATGAAAATTAGATCAACTCTGGGTTATAGACGCTACAAACTTAAGTTGTTATGTTGTTTTTAGAGAAACTAAACAAATTGATCCTCAGACAATTTAGAGTACATTCAATGGACCTCAAACTTTTCTAATGTCCAAATAGCAAAGTTGAGGGATCAAAAAGGTCAAGTTGAGAGATCAAAGTTGGTGCAACCAAAAAAAAAATTACATTATGATTGTAAACTAAAAGTCTTCCTTACCATAAACATAGACAAACACATATATAATATAACAATACTAGAACACAACACCTTATAACTTATATTAATTAGGAGAAGAAAGATACATATGGGACGGGAACCGTGGATAAAGAATAAGAACCGAGATAATATAGTAGAGGGGAAGGGAAAAGGAGGCTAGCTCGCAAGCTAAAACAAACTCGCAGGTTTTACATTCCAAAAATCATCCCATACTCTCGCTTCTAAAACTGTCACAAACAACCTCATTTATAAGGAAAAAAAAACAATTAATACATGTAGTTAATGCACCTCTCGAACAGCCAATAGGAGCACCTAGAAAACTGCATCAAACATGGATCAAATGGACAGCCGCTAAGGGGAAAGAATGAAGCATCCACATAACATAAGGGGGGGAACCAAAGTTACAACATAGCTGCCAAGGAAGGGAAAACCGAAGCATCCAGATAGTAGCCAAGGGACAACTTCATTGTATCAATTCTCCCTTGGTGAAGAATTCTCATCTCCTAATGAGATCGACTTCATAAAAGGCTGACGTTCATCATCTACAGACTCCTTTGCATCTTGCATCTTGAGAGGGAACTTCGGCCTGTTGAATGTTTATCTTTCCTTAAAAAAAAGGAAGACTCACAAAAACATAAAGCTCTGATACCAAATTGGTGCAACAAAAAAAATTACATGAGGATTGCAAACTAAAAGTCTTTCTTACCATAAACATAGACAAGCACATATATAATATAACAATACTAGAACACAACACCTTACAACTTATATTAATTAAGAGAAGAAAAATACATATAGGGTGAGAACTGTGGATAGAGAAGAAGAGGTAGAAGACCGAGACGAAATACTTAAGGGGAAGGGAAAAGAAGGCTAGCTCGCAAGCTAGAATAAACTCGCAGGTTTACATTCCAAAAATCATCACATATCCATCATTCTAAAATTGCAACAAACAGCCCCATTTATAGGGGAAAAAATTATTAATACATGTAGATAATGCTCCTCCCAAACAATCAAGAGGAACACCTAGAAAACTGTGTAGCAAACAGGGTCCAAAGGGACAGCCGCTACGAGGGAAAAACAAAGCATCCATATAGCATAAAGGAGAGGGGGGAGGGAACGAAGTAACAACACAGCTGCCAAGGAGGGAAAAACTAAAGCACCAAGGGGGAGGGGGAGGGGGAAACCGAAGCATCCAGATAGCATCCAAGGGACAGCTTGATTGCATCAATTCTCCCAAGGTGGAGAATCCTCATCTCCTGATGAGATCATGTTTGGCTTTCAATTTTTTTTGTTTTTGATTTTTTAAAAAGAACGGATAACATGCTTAGAACCTAAGGCTTTGATACCAAATTGGTGCAACAAAAAAAATTACATTATGATTGCAAACTAAAAATCTTCCTTACCATAAACATACACAAACACATAAATAATATAACAATATTAGAACACAACACCTTACAACTTATATTAATTAAGAGAAAAAAGATACAGATGGGGCGGGAACCGTTGATAGAGAAGAGGTAGAAAACCAAAATGAAATAGTAGAGGGGAAGGGGAAAGGAGGCTAGCTCGCAAGAAAGAACAAACCTGCAGATTTTATATTCCAAAAATCATCACATAATCTAGCTTCTAAAACTGCCAAAAAAAAGCCCCATTTATAGGAGAAAAAGGGAAAAAAATTAATACATGTAGTTAATGCACCTCCCAAATAGCCAATAAGAACACCTAGAAAACTGCA